CTGGTTGCCTAAGGCATCCAACTGTAGGTCTTGTGTGGCCTCGAGCCCCTCTTCTGGCCCTTCTCAGCATGGCTGTGACACAGTCCCGCTGCCTCAGCCCGTCAGCCATGCATCTTCTGTAAGCCAGACTCCCCCTTTAGACCATGAACCCCGTTGGATAGACCCTTTTTCCTGAGCAGCAGTGCCTCCCCATCTCTCGCAGCAGGATTTAGTGGGAAGAGCTCAGGGTTTGGGACCAGACCACTGCATCCTCATTTCACTCAGTAGTTGTGTGACTCTGGGCCCGTTACTCATTCTCCCTGACCCTCAGTTTGCCTCATCTATGAAACAGCCATAGTGACACCCACCTCTCAGAAAGGGTGTGAGGATAGGAAGAGAGAATGCAGGTAGAACACCTAGTAGGTGTCTGCCTTCATTTTCCCTTCATTCTCTCTCCATCTCTCACCACAGTCCTTCATCTCTTAAACGTCCCCCATAAGAATTCTAACATTCTTTGCCAAAACCCTCCCAAACCAGCCTTCCTGCAGCACGCCTCCCTGGAGACCCGCTACACACACTCGAAGCTCAGTTCTTGCTGTGAGGTAAGTGGGTAAGACCTCTCACAGCTAAGGTCAAATAGTCTTGGGGATGCATCCTCATACCCCATTTCTCACTTACCAGCATTTGCTTCAGAGAGAAGTTCACTTGCGTTTCCTTGCTTGTTCATGTATCTGGGATCACTGAGCATCTTCTAGAACACCTGCGACCCAGTGGTCACACCCCAGGTGATTTTTCTCCCTGGCTGGAGACGTAGTTGTCTGTGTGCTGGCCCCCTTATGCCACCTGCTGGCTGGGCCTGGTACTACACCTTCAACCAAGGGGTTGGACCCATCCTGTCCCCCTCCCTTTCATCTTCTTGAAAGTTCTCTGGCAGGGAGACATCTGCCTGCGTTCCCCCGCCCAAGTCAGCTTCCTAGTAAGACAGGACCCTAAAAAGTCAAACGTCCAAGACTCTGCAAAGACTCTGAGGTGGCCACGCCCTGCCAGTCAGGAGCTCAGGCCTCTCCTTGTCTGATTACAGTCCTGTGAGGTCCTAAAATGTTCTCCTGTCCATGCCCTTTCCTCCCCTGATGGTCCCCCAGCAGCCAAGGCTGCCTGTCCCCTACCCCTCTCCGAAGCTTTGATCCCAGCAGCAGCGCACACACCTAGCTCAGATGAGTCCTACCCACCCACCAGTCCCCTGGGCCCCCAAACCAGAGAACAGAAGCTCCAGGCTGATTCCAGGTGCCATCTCGGGCCCTTCTCTCTCCTGCTTTTACTCCCACTCATGGTCTAAACTCTCCATCCATCCCGACCCGACGCCCAGAGTTTCTCCCAAGTGGCTGAATCCTCCTTTTTTCAGAGTGCCCCCCCCAGCTCCTCTGGACAAGGGCTCTAGGCTGGGCTATCCCTCAGGTGGAATCTATGCATCCTCCTGATGACCGAAGGGCCGGAGCAGCATGCCTGCCTTCTGCCACCTATCACAGAGGATAGAAGGGAGTCAGATTGTCTCAGCTATTCAGGCCCTTTTAATAGAACGTGCCTGTCCCTACAGCACACACGTAGCCAGCACCCCCTCCTGGTATCTGCTGTCCACTGATCCCTCTGCCTGCAGAATCTGTATCAGAGCACAGTATGGTTCCTGGGACAGCAGAAGTGCCTCCCCTGCTCTCTTAGAAGATGGCACAAAACATATTTACCCCTGGAGACTATAAAAGGAGGACCCTTTTGCCCAAGGCATGCCCCTGTCTTTCTCCTGTGTCCCTTCCCCCAGCCCAGGAGGGAGAGAAGCCCTGGGTCTGAAAGGAGCAGCTGCCACCAGACCCCTCCACCTCCCACCCTCATTCTTGGCTCTCTCCTCCTCTGGCCTTAGCCTTCAGGGTAGATGGGCGAAGATGTATTTTGTCTTATTTTATTTTTTTTTTGAAGATGTATTTTAAATTGTCTCCATGTGAACAGTCAAGAAAAGAGAAGAAATCTTTGCATACATCAGAAAACCCCTATTTTCCAAAGCCCACCCACAACCTGGCCGCTTTTGATCACACTGGCCATGGCCTCTGACTGTCCCTGCCAGGGAATGTGGATCAAGCACCCATTCAGGATGAAACAGAAGAAAGGTGAAATTAAGTCAGGAGGCAGTCCTGGAAATATGTGTGTTTTCAGAGGAGAGTTCCCAAAAGGAAAGGAGCATGGAAATGAAAGTATAGGAAGAAAATGTGGATACACAAGCCTGTAGTAAAACCAGTCCTGGGAAGGTAAAGGCTGAGTGAGGGGGTGAACAAGGCCGAGAGGTTCTGCTGGGTTTTCCTCCCAGCATCTGCCAGGGCATCTTCCATGAGCCGCCAGGGAGTGCCAGAGGGCCTGGCCTATTGCCAGGAGGGGCAGAGAGGCCAGCTACCTCCCCGACCTCTATGCCTGAGTCAGAGGGTTGGCCTGATTGGGTCCACAGAACCCAGGCTCCCAGGCTCAACCCGCCACTCCTGCCCTTCCTCCCTGCTGGAGGATGATCCAGACAAGGCCTTAGGGCCTCCAGATCCTTGTGGTCAATTCCGGCTCATTGCCAACACTCAAAACATATAAATCCTGCAAGATGCGTAAAGATAGGTGTGGCCCAGCCACAACTCTCGAGAGGCTCTAAGACAAGGAAAAGATGAGAACCCTAAGGACGTGATAAAAAGTCAGGCCTGCCCAATTCTTCAATGCATGCTCTTAACTGGAAATGAAAGCTGTGTGACCCTGGGTAAGTCACTTAACGTCTGAGCTCAGATTGTCTCATGGATTGAAGGTGTTGGACTAGAGTAGTGATTTTCAACCTTTTCCAGCCATATTATTCCTTTATTTAAATAGGATCTTAGGGAACCCCAGATTAGTTTGTTGACTAGTCCTAATTTAGGGGATACAAACATGACCAGCTTTACCTTTCTTCCAACCACTGCTGTCAAACGTTTCCACTGAACCTTCACTTCCCATTCCTTACTGCCAGCTCTGGCAGACATTGATCATTTTTAACTGTTAAAAAGCCCAATCAGTCTCTTTCAGTTTGAAGCTTCGATCTGATGTCCAAAATCATACCCAACTCCTCTCATTCTCCATTTCTCTATTTTGGATTTGATCCAAGGTCTGAAGGACCCACAGTGGGGAGCACAGGGTCTGCTCTTTCCTGGCTCCTCTCCAGCACCCTCCTGGGCCTCCATCTTCAGTTGGGACAGGGAGTAGAAAAGAGGGCAGAGTCTCCTTACTGCCTGAGGTGGCTCTGGCCCTCCTGGGCTGTCAATGGCCTTGGTCCTTCAGGTTGTCCATATACTGCCTGCTTGGGGGCTACAAAACCCTTCCCACCTGGTGCTGTAAAGTCTTCAGCAATCAGACCTTTGAGGCAGAGTTCTGGCCAGATGTCTCCAGCTAGGCTGCCTTCCTGGGTGCTTATTTGGCACATAGAAGATCCACCCATTCCTGTCCCAGCTGGCATTCTTGTGCTGCACTCAAGAGCAGGCTGCCTCTTGCTGTCTCCTGATGCGGTGGCACAAAAGTGGATCAGCAAGGCTCTGCATAAGGAGCTACCCAGCCGGGGGACAAGAGTCTGCTCCCCCTTCTCATAGGCACCTGACATACAGCCCATGGCTGCACTAGAAGCCCCTCACTTGGCTTGGCTGGGGGCTGGGAGCATCCTGCCTTCCATTTAGTTCAGTTCAGTTCAGTTGCTCAGTCATGTCTGACTCTTTATGACCTCGTGGGCTACAGCACGCCAGGCCTCCCTATCCATCACCAGCTCCTGGAGTTTACTCAAACTCATGTCCATTGAGTTGGTGATGCCATCCAACAATCTCATCCTCTCTCGTCCCCTTCTCTTCCTGCCTTCAATCTTTCCCAGAATCAGGGTCTTTTCCAAAGAGTCAGTTCTTTGCATCAGGTGGCCAAATTATTGGAGTTTCAGCTTCAACATCAGTCCTTCCAATTAATATTCAGGACTGATTTCCTTTAGGATGGACTAGTTGGATCGCCTTGCTGTCCAACGGACTCTCAAGAGTCTTCTCCAACACCACAATTCAAAGGCATCAATTCTTCAGCACTCAGCTTTCTTTATAGTCTAACTCTCACATCCATACACGACTACTAGAAAAATCATAGCTTTGACTAGATAGACCTTTGTTGGCAAAGTAATGTCTCTGCTTTTTAATATGCTGTTTAGGTTGGTCATAGCTTTTCTTCCAAGGAGCAAGTGTCTTTTAATTTCATGCTGCAATCACTATCTGCAGTGATTTTGGAGCTCAAAAACATCTGTCACTGTTTCCCCATCTATTTGCCATGAAGTGATGGGACCAGATGCCCTGATCTTAGTTTTGTGCCTTCCATGGGGAGGTGCAAGGAGGCAAAAGCCACAGCCTTTCCCTGGGGCATTGACTCTTTAGGTGGTGATTCTCCATCAGCACACTTGAGCGCATGAAAAGCTTATTAAGAAATACCAATGTGCAGACCCCACTCCAAGCTAGTTAACTCAACATCCTGAGGATGGGTCCTGCACATATTTTGTTAAAGCTCTTGAGGTGATTGTTAAAGGCAGCCGGGGTTAGGAACCACTGCCTTCCTCCAGCAAATCCCCACCAAATGAAGGGGGTAAGACCAGTTATCCCTCCCATGAGCTGGGAGGGTCTGGGTTTCCCTGGTGGCTCCGTGTAAAAGCCACTCACCTGCCTATGCAGGAGACACGGGTTCAAATCCTGTGGGTAAGCCCCTGGCCCAGCCCCTTCAGCTCACTCTAAGGACCTTCTGCTCCTATTGAGGTTGGAGAGGGGGAGAGTTTGGGGAAGCAGGTCAGGTAGACACCCACAGCAGGTTGGGGGAGGGCCAGGGTGGGTCGGGGAGGGCACAAGAGAGAGGAACCAGACTCGGGTGAGGCCTGCTGACCTCCCCTGTTCTGCTGAGAAATGTCCGTCCCGGGTTGGGGCCCTCAGCAAGATGCGCTCCTCCCATATGCCCTGGAGCAGGGGGAAGAAGAGAGGCCGTGGCCCCAGGACCTGCAGCCACCACCCCCACCAGGGCCCCACGAGGACGGGCAGGAGGAGAAATCCAGCACAGACGAGAGGCCTGCCACAGAGCCCCTCTTCAAGGTCCTCGACACACCGCTGAGTGAGGGTGACGAGCCTACGACGCTGCCGGCCCAGCGGGACCGCGGGCACAGTGTGCAGATGGAGGGCTTCCTGGGCCGGAAGCACGACCTGGAGGGGCCCAACAAGAGGGCCTCCAACAGGTGTGTCCGGGAGGGGCCGCAGGATGGGCAGAGCAATCCAGGCAGTCTGTGGGTGAGGAGGCCCTCCACCTCTAGTCTGAGAGTTCCCGAGCGCCTTCTGGGCCAACTCCGGGGGGCTACTGGGCATGGTGGGAAAGCCTGTCTTCAGCTGTGGGCCTGAGTTCAAATCCTATGACCTCATACTAGTTACTCAGCCTCTAACCTGTAACATGGGGGTGGTGCCATGCCTAGTGCAGAGCAGAACACTAGCTGGTACTATGCCAGGGCAGGGTAGCAAGTAGGGCTTGCTACTAACAAGACCTACCTGTCCTTGACCCAGTCCCGCTTTTTACCCAGTCTTGGCCTCAGTTTCCCCAGCCATAAAATAGGGAAAGAGAAAGAGCCAACCTAAATGCCATCTGGAGGGCCCTCCTAGGAATGATATGACCCTGAGGAATTATTCAGAGGCAGTCGTGCCCTTGAGTGTGGTCTACCCAGGGGATGCCGCGACCCAAAGTCTCTAGGGGCCTCTGCCTTCAGGCAGCGGTCCAGGGTCTCAGAGAAACAGGGCAGCATCAAGAGGTTGAAGCCAGCTCTATTCCCAGGGCCAGCTGGCAGCATACAGAGGGCCTGGCCTGGAGGACACACCAAAGCTATTTCAAATTCCAAAAATGAATTTGGGGCCTGACCACCCTGAAGAGGTTTATTGCTTTATATGAAGGATCTGTAGGAGAGAGGAAACTAGCATTTATAAAGTACCTACCATGTGGCAGGCATTATATCAGGACTGACAAAGTTTTCACAACCACCCTGTGATATTGAGGTTTCCATGTTCCAGATGGGGGAAACCATCTCAGAGAGGTTGTCCTTTGTCCAAGGCAGGATTTTACTCCTTAGCAACTGCCTTACTTGGGCTACCAGCTCAGAGAAGTTGGTGAGGGCCAGATCTGAGCAGAGGATCCCTGAGCTGGTGTCAGAAATCTAAATCTGGGCTTTGTGGAATGACTCTGCACCCATGTTTGAACGGGTCAAGTTCTCTCTTTGACCTTCCAGTCCTTCCTCCCTATGTGTCCTGCTAGTTCTCCACCTTTCTGCCCTCAAAAAGAGTTGGCGGGGGTTGGGGGGGGGGTGGTTGTGAGGAAGAGGAGGAAGAAGCGCTTAATGTTTCTCAGCACTCATTACTGTCGAAGGGCAACGTGCTCTGTATTTGTCAAAGGAGCTCAGGTGAACTCCTTTATGAGCTCATGTGTTGGTTGTTCTCACCAAACCTCCCATTTGAGTTGAGCCTTGATTTGCGCAAATATGTTCCTATAAAAAAGTGCTAGCACAGTATACCAGGCATTTATCATCAATAAAACAAAATACCCCTACCACCAAAACAAACTCAGCTCTGTTTATGTTACAGTTCTGTAGTGAGACTCATGGGCTGTAGGGAGACTCAAACCCTCTCCAGTATTCTTGCCTGGACAATCCTGTGGGCAGAGGAGCCTGGCAGGCTTCCATCCATGTGATCACAGAGAATCAGACACAACTGAGCGACTGAGCATTCAAGTGAGGACTGCAGGTGACCTGCCTGTGTGCACCTTCACAGGTCCTGGAACAACCTGTACTGTGTGCTCAGGAACAGTGAGCTGGCCTTCTATAAGGATGCCAAGAATCTGGCCCTGGGGGTGCCCTACCATGGGGAGGAGCCCCTGGCCCTGAGACATGCCATCTGTGAGATTGCTGCCAACTACAAGAAGAAGAAGCACGTCTTCAAGCTGAGGTGAGGCCCTGCCTGTCCACTGCTCCTTCCCTGGTGGCTTGGTTTGGCCTAAGTGGCCAGTCAAGCTTCCACTGTGCATGACCGGCTGCAGGCCTGAGGGGCCCCTCGGGGATTTTTTCCAATTAGAGAGGCTGGTGGCCCTGATTTCTGCCTCTCAAGGAGCTGTGCCGCCTGACAGGGTCCTGGTCATGGGAAAGCTCGGGGGGCTGGGGGGTCAGGTCCAGAGGTGGCCACGGGGGAAACCCTTTGTCCTAGGCTAAGCAACGGCAGTGAGTGGCTCTTCCACGGCAAGGATGAGGTAAGTAGGGCTGCCTGGCCCTGACCCCCGCCAACAAGGGGCAGGTGGGAGGGACCCGAGCCCCTTGGCCTCAGGCTCCCTCAGAAAGGGTCCTAGAGGCGCCCCGTCCTCTGCGGGTCCTGACCCTCCCGCCCTGCAGGAGGAGATGCTGTCCTGGCTGCAGGGCGTGAGCACGGCCATCAACGAGTCCCAGAGCATCCGCGTCAAGGCACAGAGCCTGCCCCTTCCCCCCATCACCGGCCCCGACGCCAGCCTCGGCAAGAAAGACAAGGAGAAGAGATTCAGCTTCTTCCCCAAAAAGAAGTAACCTCTCGGGCGCCCGGCGGGTGAAGCCGGTGCGTCGTTGGGACGTGCAGGGACTAGCGCCTCCCTCCTCGGCAGGGCTTTCCTCCCGCCCACGGCCCGGCCGTCGCCGCTGCCTGCCGCCTGCCTGCTCTAAGCTGCCGGCCGGCCGGCCGGGCGCAGGCCCCGCTGCACTGCGATCGCTGCCTTCGCCCGCCCGGCCCGGCCCGGCCCACGCCTGCCTCCGCGCCCTCCGCCCCGCACACATCGAGCGCGGACTCCAGGGACGCGGCTCCCAGCTCCGCGGGCCCTCGGGGCCTCCGGGTCTGGGGGCAGGAAACGGTTTTTGAGGCCCAAACCCTCCTCCCCCCACCCTCCTTACGGGGCCGAGGGCACCAGCCCCCACCCCCCTATTCCCACACAAGCTGGAAAAGAAGGCTTGATGGGGGTTCCTCAGATGCTGAGAAGTGAAAGTGAAGTCGCTCAGTCGTATTGGACTCTGCGACCCCATGGACCGAAGCCTTCTCCGTCCATGGGATTTTCCAGGCAAGGGTACCGGAGTGGGTTGCCCTTTTTCCTCCAGGGGATCTTCCTGCCCCAGGGATCGAACCTGGGTCTCCAGCATGGCGGGCAGACGCATTACCCTCTGAGCCACCAGGAAAGATTCCTGAGATGGTACCCACTCCGAAAGCAAGTGTTGCCTGGTCCTGTCCCACTAGGTCGCAGCCAGGGGGAGAGAAGAGGTCCTTGGGAAGGCCCGACCTGCCCCCAGGGGTGTGAGGAGGGAGTCTTCAGGTAGCTCTGGGCCAGGGGCCGCTGCCTCCCCACCTCAGGGGTCACCGCAGCCCCTCCTCCCACAAAAAGAGGGGGCACTGTCCAAAATGGATGGGTCCTAAGAGCAAGGGGCCTCCCACCACCTCCAGCACCTCCTTGCTGCCACCGGGCCAGGCGGTGGTTGGACCGTAACCTCTCAAGCCGGCCCTCTTTTTTAAAACTACAGCTAGAGTTTAGGGCTCAGGCCGGAAGGTGGCAGATGAGACTTCCACACTGCCCCAGGTGCCACCTCTCCACCGTGGGGTCTGCCGCACTCCCAGTAGCTGCCAGACCAGCAGTACCCCACTCAGACCCCAGGTCCCAGAGGGAGACAGTGCAGGTCCCCATACGAGATGGACACCGCAGCGCCTGCATTAGAGCATCCTAAAGCCAAATCCTCCATGCGTTCTGTCTGCAGCTGGCACCACCTGAGGGTGCTGGCTGGACTGACAGCAAAGTTCACGACCTGTCACCCTGAGGTGGCAGATGCAGCCACACCTGGGTATTACAACCCACGTAACAACCCCTGGAGAGCTGGGACAAATGCTGGGGCTGGAGCCATTAAGATGTGGCAAGTACCCTTGCCCAGGTCCTCCTGAAGGGCCTGGCCTGAGTCAGGGGGCTACATAGGTATCTGCCCCCCAATCCTGGGTACAGCCAAAAGGGGTCCTGCAGCCTTTCTCCCCAGGGATAACTGTTCTTGTGCTGCCAAAGTCAGACATCTGGAGGGAACAAACCACTGGTTCCACAGTATTCTTTCCACTACCCTCTGAAAGCAATACAGCTCCAGCCCAGCATCTTAACTTGGGTTAGGTCCAAAAGTGGGCTTGAGTTGCAGGCAGCAGACACTCCCCTGAGCAGAGCAGAAAGGACCCTGGGACCTACAGTTGCTGTCTCCATCACCTTCCCCATGGGAAGGAACCTTAGACACACTGAGACGATCCCCCAGAAGTGGGTGAGGCTAAGGCAGAAACCACAGGCATAAGCATCTAGGCCTTCCCAGGAGCCCCTAGTGCTCGAGATCAATTACTACTATGTCAAGGGAAGGCAACTTCAGCAGACAAGAACCACAGGAGGGAAGTTCACTGATGGGGCCTGACACGTGGTCCTATCTTGGGAGCCAGGGTCTTCATGTGTCCTCTATCCACCTATCCCTGTGGCCCTCTGTGCATCCACAGGGAACCTAATCTATACCACTCACCAACCTCTCTACACCTAGGGGAAATCAAGGCAGGAGGCAAAGAGGTAGTGACACTCACCTGGCAATAACAAAGGCCTCAGGTGCACCTGAAGGCATGTCCTGCTCCAGGATAGATAGCATGTTCCTTGCTGAAGAGCAGGTGGTGGCAAGTCTCTCTTGGCCGTCCCCATGGGCCAATCTGTGGGAGCCAAGACACTAGGGGCCACCCTCTCCCCTCCACGTGTGCTTCTGAAGTGAGGAATTTCAGCAAGCAATGCCACAGTCCCAAGAATGAAAGGGCCTCAAGGAAAAGCTAGGATTTTACCACCTCTGGGCCCCTGGACTGGGCAAGGGCAGCAGCCAGCTGCATGTGACCTACCATCTACCGACAACTTCCCATTCCCATGCACCCCTCTCCCATGTCACACAGGCCCCAAGACCCTTGACCAACTGGAATGAAACTGCAGGCACCCAGCTTTGGAACTCTGAGCCACATTGGGGGAGCGGGTTAAGCTCCTGGCGCCCTGGCAAGGTTTTTTTTCTTTTCCTCCTTATATTTTCTACTTTGCAGTCTTTTAACAGTATCCCCAAACAGCTCCAGTCCACACCAGCATATCAGGCTTCCTCCCCAGAGCAGTTTAGAGGAAGCTCCTTCTGGGCATGGTCAGGTGGTCCCCCTGCCCTCTCTTCTTCCCCTTTGTCCCCTGGCCTCAATGGACTGTGGCTGAGGAAGGTCAGGAGGGTCCTCGGGAGGCTCGGCTTCCCTGCCACCCCACCCCTCCTTCCTGCCTATCGGAGGGCACGTAGAGTCCCCAAGGGTGGCCCTGGATCTCCTTCCTCCCTTCAGTGGGAGGGGGCAGAGATCCAGAAGACCCCATGGCTCGGTCCCTTGGACAAGCAAGCTCAGGGAGGATGCAACGGAGGAGGCGGCGGCAGACGACTGCAGCCCTGTCGGGCACAGACCATGCAATCTGGGGCTGGCCCTGGGGCCGACCGGGTCTTGTCCTCCACCTGCTCAAATGTGCTTCCACGAACCAGAGGAAACCCATTTACTAGTTTTTCTAATAAATCAATAATGCTCCATAATTCTATTTGGACTGTTTCCCTTTGAACTGGACGAAGAGGGCTGGTTAAGTAAGCAAGGCGGGATCTGTGAACCCAGGACCACCATGGAGACAGAGGTACAGCCAGGCCGATGACTTCTCCCTGGAGTATCATAGAAACAACTCTGCCAGCGCCCAGGTGCTGTGCTTCACTTGTGACCCTGAGAAAACTCACTTATTCATGCATTCAGCCGTCTTGTGGGACTGCTACAGGGCTTTCCGCATGGACATCTGAATATCAGAATCCACACACCTGGGGTTCATTTCCGGAGTGAGTGCGCTTTAAGTCCCTTCAGTCGTGTCTGACTTTTTTCAACCCTAGGGACTGTAGCCTGCCAGAGTCCTCTGTCCATGGGATTCTCTAAGCAAGAATACTAGAGTGGGTTGCCATGTCCTCCTCCAGGTGACCTTCCCAACCCAGGGATCAAACTTGCATCTCTTCTCCTGTATCAGCAGGTGGGTTCTTTACCTCTTGTGCCACCTGGGAAGCCCATCATCTCTGGAGAGGCAGTTTCAACTGGTCTGGGTGAATGAAACCTAGGCATTGGCATTTTTCAAAAAGTTCCCTCTCTGGTGATTCTAATGGGCAACCAATAAGAACCACTGAGCTGGTTCAGGGTTCCCAGGTATAACCTAGAGGGCTGTGTATGGATCTGCTGGGGAAAGTGTTCATTACTACCCCCTCCCCCAAGCCTTACCCCTTGAAGAGTCTGAGTCAGAGTTTGAGAAGCAACAACTCATCCATCCCCTTCAATTTATAGAGGAGGAAAAAGCAAGAGTTTAGGTGACCCAGCCAGTTACGTGCAGGGCTGGGTCTCCTGACTCTCATTGCAGTGTGTGACTTTTTGTTATAATCAGACTTGCCTGGTAGGAACCAGCACGCTCCTCGGCAACTGCACAAGTGGCCACAGACCATTCCAGGCAGCTGGTAGAACGTGGGCCAGACCAGCTCGGCTTCTGCCCAGGGAAGGCCTCCTCTTGCCTCTGATACTTCCTTGACCTCATTAGACTCAGCAGACTCATCTTTAGGCTGAGTCTATCCTCCTAGGTCAGAAGACATGCAAGACAGCTCTGCCAAGGGGCCCTGCAGCCCCAGTTCTCCCAGGCTCCAGCCAGACAGGGTGAAACAAGGCTGGTCCACCAAAGGAAAGGGGCAGAACACCCAGTTAGAAATAGGGAGGCATTCCTACCCCTTGGGAATCAAAGACACTTTTGTGAATGAGATGAAGAATGAGGCTCCATCTCAGAAAACATGCACTTGTACCCCTTACCTGATACTGCAAGCCACCTAAGATATTCCTAGGCTCTAAGTTTAGAATCTCACCCCCTAGGATGCAATCTCTTGGGAACCAAAGAGGGAGAGAATAAAAGGCACCAGTCACGGACATATCTGCCTATAAGAAAAACATCCCACCCTCCACCTTACCCCTTTCAATCCAACTTTGCCTCTTGGGAAAAAGAGCTAAAGGCTGGCATGGTACCCCCTGACCTTACCCTAGACAGGACGCCAGGCTATGGGTAGACAGAAGCCCACAGGAGTAGAAATAACAGAGAACAAGTCCCCTCCTGTACATTCTGCTGCCCCAGCCTCCCCCACCAGCACCTGGGTCTTGTGGTTTGTGAGCATGGCTGCATATAAGTGCGTGTGAAAGTAAAAAGCCAAAGTCCCACCTTCCCCTAAGACAGCTCTAGGCACAATCGACCCTTCCCAACCCAGTCAGACCCCAATAAGGAGACCACACACCGGTTGGTTGGTCAGCAGTGGTTATTACACCATTGGCAAATAATGAAATGTGTGTACATTAGCGACAACCACAGGGCCAGCAAGACAACACACAAAAGTACCTGAATAGAGTCCATGACATTTTTCCTGGGAGGGGAGAAGCCACACACATACACACACACACGCATACACGCACGTGCGCACTAGAACACTAACATACCACAGGATGGAAAGCAATAAATTATGGGCCACGTGCCTGCCTGGATCCTAAGAAAAGGCACAGTTAAAGAGCAAAGCCTCCCCAGGCCAGCTTCCTATGTGTCCCCTGGGTGGGCCCTGGGTCTGGCAGTGGCCAAGCAACGCTGGAGGCCTGAGCTGGCTTGCTCTCCCTGGGAAGAGATGAGTTTAAATATCTGGCTTCTTACCAGAACTATATACAAGGAAAGTGGCCACACAGGCCTCACAGGGGAAAGGGGCTCGTATGGGCCTATGTCAAGTTGCCGGCAAGTCCCAGTCCACGACAGGTGCTCTCCCGGGGCGGCCTTTCTGAGGGTCGGGAAGGGGGTGAAGTGAGCAAGGTGAGCCCAGCTATGGGCGCTGGTTCCTCCCTACCCCTCAGCCCGGCGGCTCCCTACCCCAGGACTCAGAGTCAACCTATGGAGTTCAAGGCCTGGAATTTCTCCCTCAGGTTCCGCACTCTGCCCTGCTGGCTTTGGTCCGCTGGATCCCTGGGACCCTCTTCCTTAGGCCGATACTCTGCAGACTCCTGCAACTCCTGGTCCTTCCCTGTCTGGGCAGCTGCAGAGCTCGGTCCCTGCCCGCTGGCTGCCTCCAGCCCTGCGGCAGGGCCCGGCAGGGGCCCCTTCTCCATGATGATCATCCGCCGGTTGTCCTCCAACGTGAGGTCTGCGGTGACATGCAGGGCCTCCCCTCTGTCAGGCTCACTTGGGGGCGACTCCCCCAGAGGCTGGGGCTGGGCCGCCTCTGGGCTCACTGGGGCCCTCCTGGCCTTGAGGCTGCCACAGCGGCCCAACCTGCCAGAGGGAGCCAGCTGCGGCTCCCTCATGTTCTCCGGCAGCGAGCGGCTCCGGTTGACTGGCACTTTGCTGGGCCAGCCACCCTTGGTCTGGAGTGCCTCGTCCCGGGAGGCGTACTTGGAGCAGAGCTCTCGGACATCAGGCCAGTTGAAGGTCTCAGTGTCAAAGGGGCTTCGGGGGCCGTGCCAGGCCCCCGGTGGGGTGGTCCTTGGACTGGTGGCCGAGGAGCTGAAGGAGATATGCCGTGGCGACATCTCCGTGGAAGAGCCAGGCCTGGGCGGGCTGCGCTCCTGGACCGCAGGCTGCTCGTGGTTGGAGAGAGACGGCCCCGGCTTGCTCACACCTGTGGGGAGAGAGCGAGCCGCCTGAATCCCGGAGTGAAAGGACGTGAGGGCTCTCTGAACTAGCTACGGCAGTTCCCCTTCTGGGCAAGGGTGGTTGCTGGGGTTTGGGGTGTGATGGGAGGCAAATCCCCTTTACCATCCGCAGCCCCCGTATCAAAGGGAAAATGGGAAGAAAGAAGAAAAGGTGGGGAACAGGAGTCAGGAATCAAAAGGAGACAAGAGCTTCTGCTCTCCTGGAAAAGAGAGGCCCATGGCCCCATGCCCTTGGGCTTTAGAACAGCTCCAGGGCTCACCTCAGCCCTCTTTCTGGTAGAGGTTCTTTAGGGGGTCACTTCCCCAGAAGACAACTGGCTCCTAAAAGGTCCTCCCGACTCAGGCTTGCAGGAAGGGCCCACTGCCACACCGTCGTACCTGTGCCACTGGATGGTGCTCCAACTTCCTCCTGCACCAGGGGGATGGTGGAAGCCGCCTTCTCCCACTGCAGCGGAGGCCTGGCCGTCACCGATCTGCTCTTGATCCGGAGGCTATACTGGCGAGCCAGCTGGTAGACCTTGCTCTTGACTCGCTCGCTCACGTGGCTATCCATCACGTGGGAGAGCTGCAGGATGTGGGGGTGCAGTGGGGTCACCAGCTTCCCCTGGGCGTCACTGCTCAGCTCCCTCACCAGCTCCCTCAGCTCCCGGGCCAGGTGGGTGGGGCTGCGGGGCTCGGTGGGGGAGGCGCTCTCTGGGGAGGCAGCCGCCGACTCCTCAGTGATGGCCGCCAGTTCGTGCTCCTCCAGGATAAACAGGGGCTCGTGCAGGTCAAAGCCGTTGGCCTGGCCTTGGCCTGGCCCCTTCGGAGGGCTGCCCTTGGGAGAATCCATTCCCTCCCAGATCTTTACCATTTCCGAGGACGGGCGGAACTCAGCATCTGTGATAGGAGCTGGGTCCCCAGCGCCAGCCTGGCCTGGTTCTGGGCAGTCAAAGAGGGCTGCCCGAGAGCCCACCTGTCTCTTATGCCCCAGTGGAGCCTGTGGCTCTGGGTCTGGCTTGCGAAGGCTATTGATTCTGGAGACCGAGTTTCTCACGAGCCCTTTGGGGATGAAGGAGAGGCTCTCCCGGCGCCGGACGCTAAAGCCTGCATCTTGGTGCTCTGCATTTTCGTAGTACCTCTTGATTCTGTCCAGCAACTGCCGGTCTTGGGAGGAAAGTTTCGATTCCTTCGGGCAGGAAGACCTGTCTGGCTCCGCTGGGCAGCCTGGGCCCGGGGCCTCCATCCCATTGACAGAAGGTTCGCTCTCTGCGGCCATCCCCACACTGAGGTCCGCTTCTGGAAGGAGCTGAGAGCCCAGGGAGTCTGTGGTGCTGCCCCGCGGGGCCGAGCCCTTCTCACCATCCTCAAGACTGACCATACTGTTGCTCCGGCTGGTCAGCCTTGGGGTCCCGAAGCCACTGGACTTTCCATCCTCCAGGGCTAGGCTGCTACGCCGAGAGACACTGCTAACGAACAGCTCGGCAATGACGCTGGCCTGGTCCAGCACGGAGGGAGGCAGGAGGCTCTCAGGCTCGTGGGGGGCCCCCACCTCCTCCTCCTCGTCCTCGCTGCTCAGGGCCTTAGGGTCCTCGGTGCTCTCCGCCACCATGAACTCTGCCATGTCATCGGGGGGTTCCAGCCCGAGCAGCAGCTGGTGGGGGTCAAGTTGCATTTCAAGGACCTCGGGGGCCTCTGTGTCTGAGGGCATCTCTTCGGTGCTGGGACCTTCCACAGCAGCAAACACCTCCTGTTCGGTCCCAGACTCGGTGTCTGGCTCAACCTGGGACAGCACAAAGGGCTCGCATGAGACAAAAACCTCCCTCATGGGAGCCGTGGAATGTGGGGACAGCCTGGCCTGCTCAATGCCTAGTGAGAAGGGGCTGCAGTTTAGGAAGGCAGGCAATCAGACTGAACAGCACTCAAAGTGAGGCAGCAAGGAGAAGATGGCCCTCAGTCACCCTGCCGCTGGGGTACTGGGCCCATGTCCTAAAAACCAAGGAGAATTCTAGGAATGCAGAGTGGCAGCACCTCTCAGCCTACCTGACTGGTACAGGGTCAGGATGAGAACATGCGATATGGGGTCAGAGCCACGGCCCCAGGACTCCCCTTCCTCAAGCCCTAGTAGCTCCCCACAGGGAGGCTGTTCTGGGTTGAAACTTAAGCCTCAATGACTCCCTTGAAGGGCCAGGGTCTCCTGTGTGGGTCAGGATCCAGAGGGCAATAGGATCATGTGCTGAAATTCTATCAGAGGGTAAAGACGGAGATGCGGTTCCTACCAGGCAGCCTTCGCCCTTGTGCCCGACTCTGGCTTTGCCCAGCAGATGGCAAAGGAGGAAGCAAGGTCAGCAACTCCCTTCTGACCACATCAAAGGTCATTTGAATTGTAAAATCAGCCAGTATAGGCAGCTTTCCAAAAGGGTCGTTAGGGAAAAGACAAGATAGCACTCTAAAATCTGAGGAACCAGAAGCTGATTCCAACCGTTCTAGTCTAGCATCTGCACGGCGGGACCCAGGAGCTAGGCCCACACTGTCCAACACAATGACTGCCAGCCACTCGTGATTCCCGAGCGTCTGAAATGCGGCTAATGCATGCTGCAAAAACTTCACACTGAAAAGTACAAAATACCTCATTAGTAGTTTTGATACTGACTATGTATTGAAATGATAATAGTCTGGATATACTGGGTTAAATAATCCTTTACTGAGACTACTATAGAATATTCAAAATTACACATGAGGCTCACAATTCTCTTATCATTGACCAGCACCACTCTAAACCCTTTTCCAATGTCACCCAGCCTGTAAGTCTTGTCCTGGCTGTGAGGATCACCTTTGGAGGTCTAGATTTCTTGAAATTTTCCTTGTATCTCTGGGGAAGCAAAGGACTCCGTTGCATATAACCCACAGATAGCATTGGGCTGATGGTGGGGGTGGGAAGGAAAGAGTTCAGGCTACTGGGTCAGACCCAAGTCTAACCTGAGCTCTGCCCCTTAGAAGCTGTGCAATGTCAGGCACGTCACCTAACCTCTCTGAGTCTCGATCTTCCTGGTAGAGCTGGTTCAAAAAACAGAAGGAAGAAACAGAACACCGGGCATATAGAAGGTGTCCAGTAGATATCAACACCTTAGTCCTTTGCCAGCTGGGACAGGCATGATTTAAATATCTGGCATGCTGGCAGGGCAGGGCCTTATGCTCTCTGCAAGGAGGCCGAGCCAAGGGGACCTAAACTCTAGTCACTTCCAATAACTGTGTCCCTTGAAGAGACTGCATCTGCCCAGAGAAAGGGGTGCTGCCGCCACTCAGAAGCTTCAGTCGTTTCCCACTCCACAACCCTATGGGCTGCAGCCCGCCAGGCTCCTCTGTCCATGGGATTCTCCAGGTAAGAACACTAGAGTAGGCTGCCATGCCTTTTCCTCCAGGGGATCTTCCCGATCCAGGAATCGAACCTGGATCTCCTGAATTGTAGGCAGGTTCTTTACCACGGAACCACCAGGGAAGCCTCTGGGTACTGTTTTCTAATTCAGAGTAAGAAGCTGCCTGTCACCAAGCCACGTGCCCATAGGCTAGACAGGTTTCCTGAAGGCATGAGAGTCCTGGGGAGCCAAGATTCCCTGTCCCCATGGGCCTAACAGGAGAGCCATGTCCGAAAGCCCTGCCTACAAAGCTGGAGATCTGGGCTCAGGAGGGTATGCACAATCCCCATTCCACCTGCTGGCCGCTCACCTCCGGCAGGGAAGTCACAGACTCAAAGTTCAGGCACTTTTCCTCAGGAGTTGGAGACCGGCTCCTGGTCCTCCCGCAGCTCTTGGAGTCTTCAGACTCCCTGCGTTCCTTCCCCTGAAGCAAGCAGAGGGCAGTCATCAGCTTCCAGAACAGGGAGCTGGTCCCTTCTGCATCCCAACCCTGACAGCACCTCTTGAGGCCCAAGGGGGTTGGGCTACACCAAGATCCAGCCTTGGGCCTGCGCCATCCAGAGTCGGCCTGAACTGCCAAGTCTCGGAGACTCAGAAATCCCCACCAGGCATGCGCCCCTGGTGTGCTGACCTCCCCGCCACCCCCAGCCTGCCCCATTAGTCATGCCCATTGAGTAGCATGCTGGTTAGCTCCAGTACTGGAACAACACATGCCGGGGGCTCACCAGGGCGTGACAGCGAGCCGGGGGTTAAGAAACACCATTGGCAGGAATGAAGGAACAAGGACGGCGGAGTGAGGAGGGCAGGGAAGGGGACTCACGGATGGGCATGCACATGCCAGGGAGCATGCAAGGAGGAGGGGAGATCAAAGAGACACCTCACCATAGCGCCCCGGGAGAAAAGTAAAGCGTTGGCCCGATAGTGCCAGCAGTGGAGGGCGGCCAGCAGGGAGCTGGCAAAGTCGGCTACCTGCTCCGCCACTGCCAGGCTCTCCTCCTCCTCCTCCTCCGAACCTGAGGGCTCTGGCCTGGCCCCCTTCTCGCTGCCTTTGTGCCCTGCCAGGTCCTCCAGAGAGACCTGAAAGGCCTGCTCCTCCTCCTCCATCACCTCCTCCTGCTCCTCCTGGGCAGCCCCTTCGGCCTCCGACTGTAGGCCCCGAGCACAGGGGGGCTGTCCAAAGTCCAGGAGCGTGCCAACACTGCCCGCGTGCTGTGCAGAGCACAAGGCCCCCTCGTGACCAGCCTCTGGGCAACCCCCCTCCTCCTGCAGCTGCTGGGGCTGGGGAGGCTTCACGTCTACAGACACCCAACCTCTGGGCTCCCGAGCGGCGCAGGGGACTCTCGAGGTGGGAAGCTGGGCCTGGGGCCTGGGCAAGAACTCAGGACCCAGACAGGCCCTCCTGCCCCCAGGAGAGAGGGCAATATGAGAGGATCCAGACTTGGGCCGGCCACTGGCAGGCTGCCACCCCAGGAAAAGGGTACGGAAGGGTGCCCTGGGCTTATTCATCTCCAGGACCCTCAAGACAGCGCCTAGCGCCCAGCAGGTGCTTGACAGGTGTTTGCTGAGTAAGTGACGATGATGAGGGCGGAGCCAGGCAGTTCCCCCCAACCTGTCCACAGTCCCTTCACCCCTGGCCTTACCTTCACTCTTGCAGCTCTGGCTGTTCCACCACCGCCAGGTCCCAGCACATGGGCAATGGGGGAGGGAGAGGGGAGATCGGTGAGAAGAAAGAGCCCCCTTACACAGGCCTGAGGCCCAGGATCCCCCAGGAAAGGCCTCATCAGGGGCTCCTGCTCCCAGAATCTTCACAGGACTTCCAAAGGAATGACTGAGAGCACAGGAGCCCGGGGTGGGGGTCACTCGCTCCTGCTATCAACCAAGGACCAGGAGACAGGGTGTGAGGTGTGTAGGGGGGAGCCCGGACAGCAAGGGTGAGACACCGTCTGCGTCACCCCCACCCTGCCGGTCACCTGCTCCTCCCGCTCACCCTCGCCCTAGGGCTCAAGGGGAGAGCCGACCACCCCTCCCTCACCCACCTTTCTCACTGAGTTGCCTGAACAGATGTCTGGTCGGCTCTGAGGAGGAGAGCAATGGGCAGAGTCAGGGAAGGCCGCAAACTGCCTGGCCCCACATTCACGGCGCCACCGGCCCATCACCAGCTCAAAGTCCACTCCAGCTGGGCCCCTGTGGCCTGACAAAGGCTGCCCTCTCGCCCAGTCCACAGGGAGACAGGCCCTAAGGCCCCTGCCTGCCCCGGCTCAGAGGGCTCTGCTGCGACTGACAACCCCCCAGAACAAGGCCTGCCCACCAGAGCCTCTCTTAGGGGCCCTGGCCCCCACCTCAAGCCCCACCTCCCTGCCCCAAGCACATCAGGGCCTTAGTGATACCCAAGCCCCTTCCCAGCGCCCCCGCTGGAAAGCAGGGGTTGCATCCGACTTTCTAAGGCCTTTAAGGCCTGGCACCACGAAGCCCCGCTGCCCGCTGGGGAGTGTTGCCCAGCTGGACAAGGGCTGCCCAGACCCTAAGGATAGAATACACCCATTAGGCCAATGGTGTCAGCACCTTTCTGGGGACAGACCTGAGATAGAGAGGCAAGGATGAGAGGACAGGTCTAAGGAACCTCTCTACAGAGCCGTGCCCTTAAGCCCCTACTGCCCCTGACCGCCTGGCATCAAGTGGCAGGCCCACTCTCAACTGGGAGTCAGAAGGGAGCCCTCCTGAGGTGTCTCAGCTGTCCCTGGACAGGAGAGTGTACTGAAGAACTGTTTTCTCTAAACGTGCACAGGCACACACACCTACACTCCACCTGCATCGAGGTAAACAGACACCTCGTTGTTTTTAGAGAGAGAAATACAAAAGGTTCTACTCTTTCCATTTAAACCGTGTAATCAAGAATATTTAACAAGAATATTTAAGATGATGACAACGGCACCTTATTTACCCAGAGAGTGTACTTACCTGCCCATCCCAGCTCTCTGCAAGGATGAAGCAGAAATAGGCCTGGAGGCAGTCACAACAGATGACTGAGAACACGCACTAATGCTCTTCCACTGGCCTGAATCCTCCCTCTCACTGAGGTCCTGACTGCTTTCACACACATTTCTTACACATTCAGTCGATTAATTTGTAACAGAAGAGGGAAGAGGTAAGGGCTACTACAGAAAAGCATGCGGACTAATAAGAAGGAACACCATTCAGTGAAAAGACAGATGTGCTTAATTGCTCTGTTGTGTCTGACTCTTTGTGACCTCATGGACTGTAGGCTCCTCTGTCCATGAGTTTTTCCAGGCAAGAATACTGGAGCGGGTTGCCATTTCTTCCTCCAAGGGATCTTCCCAACCAAGGGATCGAACTCATGTCTCCTGCTTCATCTCCTGCATTGGCAAGCGAATTCTTTCCCTGATGGCTTACTGGAAAGGAATCTGTCTGCCAATTCAGAGACTCAGGCTCAATCCCTGGGTTGGGAAGATCCCCTGGAGGAAGAAATGGCAACCCGCTCCAGTATTCTTCCCTGGGAAATCCCACGGATAGCCTATGGGATCACAAAAGAGTCGGACATAACTTAGCAACTCAACGACAACAAAACTAAAACACAGAGACAAAACCCAACTGTTTCAGTGTTTACAGGCTAAAACCTCAGCCTGGGGAAACTTCAGCTCTGAAACGGCTCATTTCCCAAGCGCCTCGCTTGCTGCAGGTGATGTTATGACAGGCAGTACTATTATTACTGTCCGCACTGCCGCCACTTACTAAAGACCTCCACATATCAGAAGTTTCCAAGTCAAAGCTGGGGCAAGTTAAGAGGGAATGTTAGAGGGATGAGAGAATTACATAAGAAAGGACAGAGAAGCAAGAGAGGCCAGAGACTTAGGAAGTAACACTCCCAATTTGAGGCTTTTAACACAGGGCACCAAAGACCTTTTGCAACCATGGCAAGTTTGCCCAAGGTTTGAGATCCACCAGGAACACCACCAAACAAAACACACAGAAGCTTTCCAGACACTGCTCGGCTTCATCCTCCAGAAAACCAAACATTTTACGTCAATCCACACAGTTGTTCAGGGGACCTGTGGGTCTTGCCAATCAAACCCCACGCACTGTAGGGATCCCAGCCAGGACCCAGCTCCCATCACTACTTCGTCTTTCTCTTTAGGGGTCCCTGAGATGGTTCTCACCCCAATTCCCACCTCAGGTGGTTTGACAAGTGCCTGGCTGAAACCAGATCTATCCCCGGGCCTCAGACTGAATGAAGAGGGTAAAGATTGACACAGAAAACACACACACTCATCACTACAAGGATGAATAAAAGCGAGGTTTTCTCTTTTCAATAAATGGTTCACTTCAATACTCCAAGTACACAGCAGCAAGCACAGTCATGGAAGAAAACCCAGAAAAGGAGAACAGAACTCTTCCCTGAGACCCAAAGTAAATATTTCCTGTCTGGATCTGGTGCCACTTGAAATCCAACTCATTTTCCCCACGTCCTGCCTCTGCTCTGTTCCAGAACTGGGCTGTGGACCATCCATGACGTCCGAGCATTACTCTGGCTGACTCCCAGTATTCCAAGTGGCAAGGAGGAAGGAGTCAATTGTGGGGGCGCTGAGAAGGGGTGCCTGGAACAAGCCTTCCTGGGGCCTTGTAGAAGGAGAGCTGTCCAGCCCTGGGTACGCAGGAAGGGCACAGAGGTGCCTGTGGAAGGCAGGAGGCTCCAGACACACCCATCCACACCGCACTAACCACTCCCCCCGCCTCAGCCTTTCCTGGGCTTTCCAGAGAGGTGAGAGCTAGCCCCAAATGCTGCTGCAGAAGGTTCGTTTCCTGCTTGGTTAAAGGTCCTGAAAAGAAGCCTCTGTGCCCACAAAGTCCCTGCCTTACCAGACTGCCGGCGCCCCTGGTGCATGTGGGTGAACACGTCGTCCTGGGAGCCCTTCTTCAGGCGTTCTGGGCTGTGGCGGTACCGATTGGGATCTGCACCCAAGAGAGATAACCAGGCCTTTGGGATACCATCAGCCTTGGCATGGACTCTGCCCACCCCCAACCACAACTCCGCTGCCCAGCCCAGCTCTAGGGCCACAAGCGTGCCGAGTTCTTCCATCCTCCCCCTGCACCAGGAGCATGAGGCGCGTAGCGTCCCGCCTGTTATCAGCACGAAGCCCTGGTCTCGCAGTAGACCCCCAGGCTTACAGAAGGAGCCGCCCCCATCCTCCCTGCTCTGTAGACTCTAAGTATCCAGCAAAGCTCCCCCAGGATACAGTCTGACCAAGAGACGAGCACCGTTAGGGACAAAGCAGGCAGGAAGGGTGAACTTACAATAGGAATCCATTTCCAAGATGGCTTCTTTGGCCTGGAAGAGAAGGAAACCCACCTCGTGGCTACCTTGCTATGAGCCATTTCTTCCTCGGCCCTGTCGCACCAGGGCCCCCCACAGGGCTGGTACAGAGGACCGCGGCACTGTGGTGGGCCAGTGTCCAGAAGGTGAGGCCCAGGGTTCCCCGGAGCTGGCTCTGAGGGACAGCCACTCCCGGCCCCCATCAGGCGCCCCAGGAACTCACCTTCTGGGGGATGGTGGTATGGTGGTTGTCCAGAATGAGCCTCTTGATGTGGTGAGTCCACCTCCGTTTCTCCTCCACCGTTTTGGCCTGGGAGGGCCCAAGAGAGAAGGAGGGGGTTACCATAACAGGCCCAAAGCCATCCGGCATGGGTCGGGTTTTGGCCGAGGGGGGCAGAGGCAGAAAGAAGGCTGGGGGTGCTGTGAGCCTCCCTCAACTCCTCAACACAAGCCCAAGAGATATCCCCAAGGACTTCTGCCTTCCAGGGGGAGACTCCGAGGCTCCCGCCGCTGAGGGAGGGGCAGGTCTCATCCCAGCCTGCACCCCACAGGCCCACGGGGGTCGTGTCCTGGCCCGCCCCTCACCTGGATGTTGTACTGCTGTTTGCCGTGCTTGTAATGCGTGACGGTGAAGCACAAGGACTCACGGGTGCTTTCGATCAGCATCAAGGAGGAACACTGGGGGGGTAGAGGGAGATGGCAGTCAGGCCCGCGGCGGGGAGCCAACCAGGGACCCCACTCCTCAAGGAGTAGGGAGGCAGGGAGAGTACTCTTCAAGGGTGGAGCTGTGTCCACCCCAACCCGAGGCCCAGCCAAGTCTGGGGCAGAGTTGGAAAATGGAACCAGCCCGCTGGGAAGGCGGGAAGCGGGGGAGGAGGAGGTGTGGCCTGGTTACCGGGATGTGGCCCTTGTAGACAAAGTGGCCACCCCGCTTCTTGGTGATGAGCAGCACTTTGTCAAAAAGGAAGAAGGTCTTCTCGTTGCGCACACGGTGCACGCGGAACGTGCCCTCCAGGACGAGCTCCCCGTAGGTGGTCAGGTCTGGCCCCGTCCAGTTGAGGAGCAGAGACTGAATCTCCTGCAACAGAGAAGCCCCAAGCCCCAGGGTCAGGCTGCAGGAGACCCTGCTGGGACCACGCAGGGCCCCCTGGAATCACCGCCTGGGTTTCACAGAGACATGCTGCACCAAGGGCTCCCCCCAGAGAAGCCCATCTTCAAAGACACCACTCCTCCACTCGTATTCCCTCTTCTAAGCCTCTTCCTGCCCGAGCACCCCTGCCTGCCGTCCCTCCAGCTCCCAGCTCCAGAGCACCTGGAGCCGGACCGCGTGCTCATGCCTCCTCTTCATGTCATTGATGTACCAGGCCACGCACGTCATGGTGTCAATGGCATCCTCCACCACCTCAAAGCCGTCCTCTTCCTCATCAAAATGCTTGGCGATCTCCTGTGCGGGGGACAGGAGCTGAGGCTCAAGGGCCCTGCCCCTCCCTCAGGCCCCCATGTCCTCGGGAGGAGCCCCAGGTTACCTGGAGCAGCAGGTGGTACTTGAGGATGCGCTGGACCGGCTTCAGGAGATAGGAGCCCAAGGGCAGTGAATGCTGCAGCAAGTCCTGCTGGTCCCGGAAGAACTTGGCCTGCTGCTTGTCCTGCATGCACTCGGTCAGGGCAGCCACCGAGCTGCCAGTGGGAAAGGGGCCGTCACCAGAGGTGGGTCTGGAAGGGGAGGTGGGGTGCTCTGGACTCGCCAGATGGCTCTGCCTCCCCTCTCCATCCTAATTACTCACTTGGGGTAGTTGTTGCAATACTGAGTGTAGATATCAAACTCTTGGCTCTAAAGAAAGACCAAAAACAGTGATTTCAGGGAAACTTGCATTTGCCTGTAAGCTTGAGTGTAGCAAAGGCATGCCCCTGGGCCCCGGAGCACACTCTCCACAAGCATCTGCAGATTCATCTCTGTACCCATCCGTCTCAGACATGCCATCCACCCAGCAGCCCCAGCGCCACCCCAGATGCCCTTGATATTCAAGGCAAGGCACCCAGCACTTCCCCTGGAGAGAGGCCCCTATCTAGGCAGGATGGGGCCAGGACCCAGCCATTCTTACCCTTTCCACAAAGCAGCTGGCCACGGCCACGGGGTCACTGTTGCAGCTGTCCAGGTCTCTGAGTAGCTGGCTGGGTGAAGAGGAGGTGGTCATCAGACCGTGGACCACTCACAGCCTCCATGGTCACCAACACACCCCCTCCCCAACCTCCTGGTGCCCAAACACACATCAGCCCTGGTGTCAGTGAGCTCCACCCGGGGCAGCAACTGTGGAAAGGAGCCAGCACCGCAGCAAAGATGGGGGCAAAACAGAGCCACGCACTCCACCAGCAGGAGAGGGAGAAGGCACACGAGTACCCACCTCGGGAGGGGACACAGCTCCTCTGCAGGCAGAAGGAGTCAAACACACAGAAGCAAACATTAAAAGAGGAAGGAGAGAGGGAGAACTAGCAAAGGGACCGAGGCCCCCAGTTCAGAAGGATGCAGAAAAGGGGAGAGGCAGGGTGAGTCCCAGCACTGCTTGTTCTGAGACGGGGGCACGAGAGGAACACCCCGCCTCCCCTCCTGAGCTCCTCCTTGCCCAAGCCCACACCCTCTGGTCCAAGTCTCTCCTCCATCAGGCCTCCCAGCTTGCCCAGCAGGAAGTCCCTCTGCCATCCTAAGGGGCCTGGGGCAAGGTTCCTCCTATCCCGTCAATGCTGCCCCCACAAGCTCCGCTCCTCCCGGCCAGTGCCCTCTCCCTGGAGAGTCTGGGGGCCCTGGCAGCCACTCATGTGTGGTCTTCGTGTAGCCCCTTTGGCCCTGAAGCAGCCCCTCGCCAGGCCATGCTCAGCCTCCCTCTTCACTCCTTGCCGGGCTTCTGTGTTCCTCTACCTAATGGATCAGATCACCTCCAGGGAGCCCCAGCTTCCCACAGAATCAGGGGGAAGGTGGAGAAGAATGAAGAGATCTGCACGTGGGGGACCAAGATGAGAGGGACCGGGGAAGACCTTCACATGCAGCACTCCCAAGGGGGCGCTGGCCCAGCCTGGACCCAACATAAACACCGCCTCACACGAGCCCCTCTGCCCATCAGGTAGCACACAGGCCCAAAGGCCCTCTCTCCTGAAGGGAGCTAACTGTACAGGGAGGGACCACCCTTCCCCACTTCAGCGATCAGACCCCGGCCCACGTTATCACAGCCCCCGAGTAAGACCAGGCACATTGGGGTTCCTCTCCAGGCCGAGATGGGGCTCACAGGAAGAAAATGGGGTGTGTCAGGCTCACTCCATACCTGTTCAGTGCATAGATGCTTTCTATGTTCCCAAAGAGGGCGCTGACTTGCTCTGGGTTCAGCAGCCCAGGCGTATCAATGATCTTCAAGAGGTAGTCCTGTGTGGAGAGAGGCATCAGAGCCCAGCCCCCAGCCCCGGCACAATCCAGTCCAGTCCCATGGCCCCACTCCCCAACATGCCTCATTCCTGGGCTGCATTTTCCCGCTGTGACCATTTCACAGGCGTCACCTGTCCTGGGACGGCTGGTTCCTCCTCACAAATAATAATACCCACTTGGAATCGCAGAATGTGACCTTCTTTGGAAATAGGGTCTTTGCAGATATAATGATTAAGGATCTTCAGGTACTACCACACTGGATGTAGGGTGAGCCCTGAATCAAGTGACCAGTGTCCTTGTAAGAAGGGACACAGACAGACTCAGAAAGGGCCGTGAGAAGACAGAGGCAGATACTGGGAGAATACAGCTACAGGGCAAGGAACAGTGAGGGTTGCCAGCAGCAGCCAGGAGCTAGGGGAGAGCCCTGGAACACATTCTCCCTCAGAGTTTCCAGAAGAAACCCACGCGGCCAGCATCTTGAGTGTTAACCTCTGGCCTCCTCAACCAGGACAGGATAAACGTAAGCATCTTCAGCTTGCCCTGTGTGTGGCTGCCTGTTAGGCAGGCCTAGGAAATGAGCACATGTCCCTCCACAGGGCAGAGAGCTTCCTCAGCGGCAGCCACACAGTCACCTTCTCCCTTGCCCCTCCCAGTGTGGAGGTGTTACCCGCATTGGCCCTGCAAGGCCCTCCTCTTCAATTTACAGAGGAGGAGTCTGAGGCTGGGGCTACAGGTGCCTAAGACCCCACAGGCAGGAAACAAGAGGAATCTGGGCGCTGTGCAGGGAGGGGCCCAGAGCCAGTTTCTTCATCGTGGCTCCGTCCTGGCCAAACACAAGAGTCCCCACTCCCCATGAAGGGTGCCTACATCCCAACCATCCGCAGAAGTTCTGCTGGCCCAACTACTGACGGACCCCCAAGTCAAGGCGGTGTGAGCGGCCAGCAGCACCCCGGGCAGGCGCCCGGAGGGAAGCAGATCCTGGTAGCAACATGTCAGGGAGAACTTTCCTCCTCCCGTGGGTGGAAGTAGGGTTTTGCCCAAGAGCTGGGCCACCAGAAGCCAGAGGCCAGCCCCAGCCCCGGAGGAGAGGGCTGTTCCTCCCGACCTCAGCCCCCCGAAGCCTCACCTCCACGATGCTACGCAGGTCCCGCACGTACGTGCGCTCCGTTTCCACGATTTCCCGCACCACCCGGCCCAGGTAGCCGAACTTGTCCGCAGGCGCCACGGGCCGCGTGCGTTTGCTGAAGGGCGACAGGGACCCCCGCAGCCAGCCGCTGGAGTTGTTGTTGCTGTTGGGGAGATGCTGGCCACACGGGGAGCCCTCCCCGTTCTCAGCCAAAGCCTCGGAGCCACTGGGCTCCTCCATGGCCCCACGGCTGTCGCGGGATGAGCCCGACGAGGAGGTCGTGGAGGTCAGGCTCGCCGGCCGCTCCTGGCTGCCGTTCTGGTGGAGGGACGCAGAGACGGGCATCCTGGCATCGCTGCCTGGCGGGGGCGTTCCGGGGAGGTTCTGGGCGTGACAGACAAAGGGTCAAACCTCTGGAATCCTCGCAGAAACAGAAAGTAAAAGGGTGGCTGCCAGGGGCTGGGGAAGGAGGGAATGGGGAGTTACTGTTTAATGGATACAGAGTTTCAGTTGTGCAAGATAATGGAAGTTCTATGGATGGAAGATAGTGATGGATGCACAACAATGTGAAGTACTCAATGCCACTGAACATTTTAAAATGTGGATTTTATGTTACATGTATTTTACCACAATATTTAAAGCAACAATTCTGAATCTCAAGGAGGTCCCTTCCTTCCAATTGTATGAGCATCTACGAGGATGCCCAAATGACATTCCTGCCTGTCTCCAACAGCGCCACCTCCATCCTTCCCAGAGTGGAAGAAAGGTGGACCACATCCCAGATCAGCCAAGGGCTCAGAAAGCTGAGGCCCCAGGACAGCTGGCAGCGGTCAGGGGTGCCTTCTAATGGAATCTGCAGCCCAGCCCCTCTGCTCCTCACCACCTGCCCTGGGGCTTGTCCCCCCACAGTACGCAGTGAGCTGCTGGGTGTTCATCTTGGTGCCCAGCACGGGGCGACGGCTCCATAAACCATCCAAACAGTGATAGTTCTGGCAGGTGTCAAAAAGCACTCTCCAAGTGTCCACCATTCAAGGCTCTGGCTCTTAACAACCTATATGTCAGAGTATGTGGGACTGCAAAATCTCTGGGGCACCAGTGGCTTAACCTGGAACCTGAAACCTTCTGGATACTGACGGGGCAGGCAGAGGAGATGATGCAAAGGCTGAGCCCACGTCACCTCTGTGCCCCAGTCCCCAGTACTTGCTTCTGACTCAGCCAGCCTCCAGGGACGCAGGAAATTCCCCAGGGCTGAGGCACGGGTAGGTCTCCCAAAGCGAAGCTCCCTTCAGCACAGCCGGGTCAGGGCAGCAGAGCAAGCAGGAAGCTGCTCCCAGGCGAGGCAAACATAGCCTCAGGTGGACTTTATTCCCTAAACAGGTGGTGTGGCTCACAGGTAGGCCAGCCTGAAGCAGCAAGCTGGGGAGGCAGGGTGGTGGCTGTGGCCTTTGGGAAAGTCAAGGACACTCCACCCCACCCCAAAGCCCATCAACATCACTTTCCACAATGTTCATTTGACTGCTATTTCCACAGGGAAAATGTTCTAAAGCATCTCTGCCAGCCCTACTGTCCCAATGCCTTCCACCCCTAGCTCTAGGACTCAGAAGAGACTAGACCACAAGTTAGAGCTATGAGAAGGGTCAAGACGGTGCCATCACTCTGGCCATCTTGAATTTGCCCCCCTGGTTTTCTGTGCCTCTATCCCAACTTGGAACCAGCATCCCCACCTGGGCTCTGGCTTTTGCAAGTGTTCCCGCTACCTGGCCATTACTTCCTCCCCAACACCCATGCCATACCCCTAGCCTGTGTCACTTATGCCAACCCTTGGGTCTGTGAGAAGCCAGATACGCCCAGAAACCCAAACTGGGGGCCCCTTCTGTGTTCTCTTATAGCACCCCAGGGTCACCCCTTTTGTAGCACTCATTGTGTAAGACTCCCAGCCCTAGGCAGTGTGACCTAAGGGCAGGGACCTTAGAAAGCGATCCTCAGATGGCAAATGGATAATGATGGTAGATGAACCAGTATGACTACCAAGCTAAAGCCAGGAGCATGGAGACCTGTTTGCCATGCATGCTAGCCCAGCGAGGACCCTCCCAAGCACAGCAATTTCCCACTGCATGTCTCAGCTAGGCGAGGGGATTCCCTCCACGTGAGCCTCTCGTCTTGCAGATGAGGACACCGCAGCAGCACTGGGGCCAGTCCTGACTGCTCCCTCCTTCCAGGTGCAGTCAAAGGATTAATTAACAGGATCACCTTGGTGAAACCGAGCATCTCAGGAGAGCCCCTGGGAAACACAGCACTGCTACTTTCTCCTGTCTCCTCAGAAGACCCTTTAAGATGAACCAGCTAGTCATTTCTACCCACCGGTGGCCTGTCATTTCAGACAAAGAAAGAAAGAGACCCGAACTCCGCCCCAGCCCTTAACCCCAGGCCCAGTGGGACTTGCTGAATAGCCTCTGTGAAGTGATTGACCCTCTTGTGACTTAAAAATCTGTGTATCTCAGCAGTGATTATTCATCTGTCCATGCAACATTATATAGGACACTGTTTTGTGTTTGATTTAATTCAGCAAACCTATACTGAGTATATGCTGTGCGTCAGGAAATGTGTCCTTCAAAGCAAGTGCACCGTCAGGCACCCCGCCCCCCCCCCCCCCCCCGCCCCATCTCCCCTCCAGCCCCCGAGGCCTGTCAATCCCAGCTGGAACAAAGGAGTAGGGACTTGTGGCCTAAGACCTTTCCCAGATGAAACCTGGGGTCAGTCAGCCCCTATGGGGATGCTAAGCGGAAAAGGCCCAAGTCTCTAATGGACTTCACAGCTGGCCAGGTCATGGCCTCAAAGTGAAGGATTAATCACAGCCCCCCACCTCCACCCCATACACAGTCTCTCAAGAGATTTCTCTCTAAAGGGTATCTTCGAGGTCACTCATTAGGGACTCCATCACCATAAGGTCCCCATGCACACTGCAAAAGCCCAGGAACTAACGCGTCTTTTCTACTTGGAGAAATTTTCTCTGACTGCACACAGCCATCTGCCTGCAAACCAAGCTCATATTTTCATAGCACCCATGCCCAAATCCTCCTGGGGTTAAAAGAAAGCATAATGGCTAACAGCTAAAAATGATCCAAGTGTTGTAAACATAATGATGCTTTTACCTCATAACAACTCCATGAGGTCAGTACTATTATTATCCCCATTTTACAGATGCAGAAACTGAGGCCACAGAAAGAGCATGCGGTAGAGCCTGAATCTGGACTCAGGCACTCAAGCTTCAGTGTGAGTGCTCTTCTGCCCCTGCCCACTGCTGGCTGCCTCCCTGATGGATTTCACACCAGCTAGAACCCCAGCAAAGGATTAGTCACAGCCCTAGATGCCATGGCTTTGCCTCAGCATAAACCATGGGGGACATGTTAAGACATAAAGGTCATGGCTTTTAATATTTTACTTCCCTCACAAAGGCCAATGGAGGTAAAAAAAAAAAAATTGAGAATTGAGATTCTTTAAGGCTATTTCTAGACCTCCTACTATGTGACCTTTGCCCATTTACCTTTTCCTTAGAACAACACAGAAAAATACATACTCCTGGTCAAAGGACTGCAGGTCCTAGAGAAGGGAAGCAGCAGGAGGACCCGAGGATCAGATTGTAACTCCTCGGATGATAAGAGAAGCCCTGCAGTGACCAGGAGACCCAGGTTCGCAAGGCTCTGGTTCTCTCCCCTGGGCAAGAGGACTCGCTGGAAAAGAACACAGAGACCCAGAGAGGAAGGGTGAAGAGCAAACGGAGGTGTCAGGGCAGCCCAGGCAGAGTCCAGGTGGGACTGCTAGCATACACCATCAGATAGTGAGGGAAAAGAGAGATCACACCCAGGGTGAGGGCCCTCTGCTTCTAAAAACCCAATCCCCACCCTTCTGTGGTGTTCCTGCCTGGAAAATTCCATGGACAGAGGAGCCTGGCAGGCTACAGTCCACGAGATCGCAGAGCTGGACACAACTGAGCAAGTGAGTGCACACACACCTTTTTGTAGTGGCGCTCAGGCCCCCACAGAGATAGTGGAAGCACCTGCCTACGGAAGGGCTCCTGGGTAGAGGCAACCTTTCCCTCCTCTCCACGGACCATCACATCACCCCATATGGTAAGATTCACCCCAAGGCCAAGATTGGAACTCAGGGGTCTTTAAACTCATCTTGGAAGACACTGTCTGCTGGGGCAGTGGGCGCCTAGAGAAGGTGACAGACAGCAGCCAAACTCCAAGCCACAGCCCACCGTATCACCCTGGTCTCCAGCTCCCTAAATATCCCTCCTCACTGACTTCTTCCATCTTTTAACAGGAATCAATCCAATCAATCATCAGTCAGTGAGTCAATCTTCTAGAAAACGCTGTATCTCCCACACCTGAGAAGCCCTCTGTGATAGGGTCCCTGAGACCTTTCTGATCGGCCCCATAAGCTGCTCAGACATGCACCTTTAAGAGTTTGGGTGCAGGAGAGAAAGGGAGATCAGTTTCTTTTCTTTTCAACTTTCTCTAAATTTAAACCTAATCCACACCCTTCCTCCGCTCACACCTCCCAGGGACCTTCCCTGAACATCCCCAGGCAGGGAGGCAGGCAGGCTGCAGCAGGCCTCTGAGTCTCCCAGGACAGCTGACTGGGACCAGGTTCCACATCCTTCTCCTCGCTGCGAGGCCTCAGCACTGTGTCCCCGATCTGACCTGGCCTCCTGCCTCCAACAGAAGAAAATGACCAGCCAAACTCACCAGAGCCCCCATGTTCTGTCCTCAGGCCTCTTGTCAATAAGGCAGTAGGACCCTGCTCCCCAACTCCACTCCAGCTTCAGAAAGAAGGGTCCCATGGGGGTGCTCACCTGGATGGAATCTTCTGGAGAACCTCTGCTTCTCTAGGATGGAGTCTTCTGGAGAACCTCTGCTTCTCTAGTCCTGGGGACTCCCCAGGACTCAGTAACACTCCCTTTCAGCCCTCCCTCAGGGGCCAGTAGGCCAAGAAGGCTTGAGATGAGGAGGAAGCTGTGCCAGCCAGCGCTCAGAGACACTCCAGAAAACATTTTGGTTCAGAGAGGCTGGGTCCAGGTGTGGAGGCGGCTGACGTCATCCTTTCACCTACTACCCTTCGCCCCACATCCAGGAGACGGAAGATCGACATGCCACACCTGCTCTGGAGGCAGATGGAGCGACTGAGGGGCTTCCCCAGAGGCAACTGCTCCAAAGTCCAGTGGCCCCGGGAGTGAAGGGGAGCGGTCACCTGGTACCTGCGTGTGGGCCGAGGCCCTCCCTCCCTGGGGACCGCAGGTGGCACAGCCCCCCGTCCCCACCTTCTCTCATCTCCCGACTCCCAACACCTGCTGGGTATTCCAGAGGTTCCTCAATCCGGGC